TTATTTACCTGTCTCTCAGGTCCTCGGGGAGCAGTGTTCTTCTGATGTAGAAATATTTTCACCATGCAAGCGGATCCTTGGGAATATCTAAAATTCCTCTTCTTTCTCATTCTTGAATCAGTCTCTTAAACACTGATAGTCAATGGCTACACAGAAAAGGAACTCATTAAATATTCAGTTCAGCTTTGTAAACAATGAGAAACAGGGGTCCACTGAGCCAGCTTCTTAAAATGAGTCTGTAGTTCTTAAATATCTGATCAATTTAGTTTTTAATATTAACATCTTAGTAGCAAAATACAGTTCTTAAATATATATGTATATATGGCCATATGTATATTATCTATATTCTAGAAGTTTACAAGGTTTAACTTCAGGATGAATGAGCCTGTAAATACGGTTTTTATCATTATATGGGAGCTCATGTCGCCAATACCATTTGCAAAGGACAATTTTCAAAAAGTTAAAAACATGACTCTCATACAAATAGAAAAAGACCAGAAGTCAAAGATTTTATTTGATTCAATGAGGAAATCAGTAAGACGTTAAGACTGATTCAAAACAAAATTCAAGGACCCAGAGATTTACAGTTGGTCAAAGGAATTGCAGAAGGAAATTTGCTAACAAATGCAAAGCTAATGGATGTCCCACGAGGCAATAACCTTTGCGATGCTGCTGGACAAGAATCACTTGTATTGCTGTCTGGTTTTCACAAGTTAAACCTTTACTCTTATAAAGCTGCAACACAGCCTTCCCAGTCAGTCAGCAAAGGGTACGCAGGCAGCCCTAGAGAATCAGAGAGTCCCCAGGCAGCAGAGGCTCCTGCACACCCCCCGCTCTACACAGAAAGGGGCTCAGTACCCTCTTGATTTCCCCCAAGTTCTGCGTACTTGCTCTCGACACTATTAACTGAGAAGCATGAAAACAAACCAATTTGCTTTTTCTATGACATATTTGTAACTAGATACAAGAAAGTGGACACGAACAAGTCTCCCACTCTCTCCCCACACTGCTCGCCGCCGGTGTCTCATCATGGGCTCTGGAGTCAGACTGCTTGGGTTCAAATCATGGTTCCATCATTTACTACTGGGTGACCTCGGGCAAATTACTGACCCTCTCTGTGCCTCAGTTTCGCCATTATAAAAGAGGATTTGAAGTGATAGTATCTTGATGGCTTTGTGATGAGGGTTAAATGAGACAATGCACAGGCGCCCAGTAAATGTGAGTTACAGTACCACTAAGGGTTAATTCTTCTACCAGCGTCTTCATTCTGACATTAATACATTTTGAGAAATATTCTGTTTTATGCCTTGTTTAAAAGGGATTCGGTTCTTCATTTTAAAGCAGAAGCAAAAATAATTAAATCACTGAAATGAGCCAATTAGTAAACTAATAAATACGCTCATTTAAGAGATTATAACAAATTCTAGAAGTGTCAAAAGGGTAATTCATTTCTTTCAACTTTGACGTTAAAGGAACAAAAACGTATGAGTCAGGGGTGGCAGGAAATTAATCTTTGTTACGATGTCCCAGGCATTGTGCTTACCACATATTCATTACATGTCAACAAATGAGTATTTTCAGAAGAATAGATTTTTTCCCTTTGAGACATGCTACAAAGTGAAAAGCAGTGAAGGAAAATAACCAAGAGAAAAATACGCCGAAGCCTGAGAAAGTGGGTTTACCCAGCAAGTCAAACGCAGAAGCAGTGCTTCAAAGAGCAGTTCAGCTTTAATCATTTATTCCGTACCACAAAAAGAGAACAGATGAAATATTCTCTGGATTTTAAATGATATTTACCAACATATTGGTAAATATATGCACTGGCAATATACGCCCTTTCACTATACACTGTTATTTTTACTTTGCCCACAGAATGCTAAGGAAAAAACTCAATAAATACACATTTTATTAAAAACACACACATAAGTCTGCTACAAATTGATATAAATCAGTTATGTCTCCCTCCCATCCAAACTTTGGCTTACATACTCTTAAGTCAAAAAACAACAGTGGTGGAGGCGACCAAAACCCTGTGGATAAAGATGGTAAATTAAGCACTGAAGTTCAGAATCAGACAGGAAATAGCTAGAAACCAAAATAGAAAGCAAAACAATGAAGAAAAATGGCAACTCACGTTGAAGTCAGGATAAATAATAATGCACACAAGGCTGAGCAAAGAACTTTCTTAAAATGTTGGTTTTTAAGAACACATTTTTAGGTTAAACTGAACACAAGAGAAGGGAATTTCCCTAAAGAAGTTTTCTGAGCTAAAGGAAAATCAAATTATGCTTGAGAAACAAAAGCAAAGACTACTAATGCTCGTCTCTTGCCCTCCACGCGCTTCTTCAGATTTGTGTCAGTGTAGGTTTTCCTGCTGAAGGCCACTGATTAATTCTCTACTCTGTTATCTCAACACAACCAAATCTAGACGTAACCCTCTGTGTCTCAACAGGTTGATGAATGGGACAATAATTTCCAGTCCCTCACGAGCTGGGAATTGCATCGTGGATGAACTCAAACACATGTAGACATACAGTCTACTAAGCCTCAGATTGAAGAAACAGTAACTTATTGCCAAAAGGACATTATTTACAGCCACTATTAGAAATGATTTCTTCTTGTTTAATTTTAAGGAAATGTCAAGAGAGGCACTATGATTTAAACAAACAAAACAGAAAACGATGTCTCACAATATTTCATATGCTCAAATTTTTGTGCAAAAGACTTGTAAAAACAGAATAATGTTGATATCGCATTTTAAAAAAAGGTTTTAAAAAAGCTAAGCATGAGTTCATAAGTAAACTGGATGTTTACCATTTTGAGAGAAAAAGGCAAAGTTAACAAAATGATGCTAGACAATAAAGTGCTACATTAATTTTGCAACTGTGTGCATTTCTAGTTCCTCTGCCAAAGATTATCAGGTTGTAAAAATCTGTAAAAGAACTTGATAAAAGTAAATACATCACGGTTGTATTGATGGCTTTCCACAACTGGACACTTAAAATATATTTATTTAGTTGGAGGAGGAAGTGGCAGTGAGAGCCTTTCATCTATAATGACCATTTTAGAATTCATTAGAAACTACTGCTCATAATTCAAATACACACAAGACGGTGCACCTGTCTTCAAATGTCCAACAGATACAATAGCAAATAACAGAAGCTGTGAGTCAGAGGACACTGGCTTGCTAAATACAATTAAGACTGTTATCTATGTTGTACTAGATAACAAGGACTGTTTAAAATGATAGTTTTAAGAGCTTATTTCATTTTACTATTTTGGTGAGGAAGACAGGCCCTGAGCTAACATCTGTGCCAGTCTTCCTCTATTTTGTATGTGGGTTGCTGCCACAGCATGGCTGGTGAGTGGTGTAGGTCTGCGCCCAGGACCCGAACCCGTGAACCCAGGCCGCCGAAGCAAAGCGCGCCAAATTTAACCACTATGCCACCAGGCCGGCCCCTAGAAGAGCTTATTTTTGAAAACTTAACTTGGAGTGAAACTCTTGTCAAAGAATGTGCTATGTTAGGATTTTCCTTTTATGTAATGAAGGAACAATAAAAGGCAGGTGGAATTATACAAAAAAAAAAAAAATAGAAATTACATATCTCAAGCAGAGGTGCTAGAACAGGATGAAGAACAATCACAATAACTATTACTATATGAGGTGGCGTGTCTATTTTAATGTTCTTTTAACTATGACTGAACTCTTAAAGAAAGAAATAAATACCAAAGTGAAAGTTAACATATGTACCCGACATTTTTGTTTTCTATTCTGAAGGGTGTATTTTTAACCTTGGGACAAAATGAGTAGCCCAAATCTTTATTCCACCTAAAATAATTTTTGTTTCTTGCCCTCTTCTCTCCAAAACACTGTACAGAGTTTGATGATAACCAATATGGATCCTTGATATCCCTCAATCATTCTTGCAGTTCCCCTGTATTGAGTTCAAAGCTCACATACACTTTAACAGTATTAACATACGTTAACATACCAAGAAATCAAGATGGCAGCATGAGAGGTTCAGGACAGGTGAAAGCACTTCTGTGACCGCTGAGACCATTTTGTGTTATGTGGTCCACTGTCCACTCTGAGTTCCAACAGTGTGACAAACACAAACACGGCTGACACGGATGAAACGTTACACTGTGTGATACGGCTGGTAGAATTGATGTCTATATTAGCTCTTGAGGTAGGAAATTTGCTACTCATTACTAAATACGTGAAGAATATCTAAGTTAATAATGTTTAAATATAAAAGTTTAAAAATTGCACAAAGATGCTATGGATGTCCTGTATGTACACTTCAGTAAAAACCTAAACCAAATCAATCAGAAGGTTTAGAATGAGATTGTTTTCAATATGGATTTTAAAGTATTTCTTTAGAATTGTTATGTATTCTATGCATTGATCTTCCATTTATTTACAATCCTTTTATTTCAACTCAAGGAAGGAAAACCAAATCTTAAAAACTTTGAGGGCCCCTCATTTGCTTGTATCTGAATCCTCACACCAAGATGCAAGGAGACACAGGGACGTGAGAAGTGGCGAGTCAACAGGAGGTGAGCTGACACTGCGTTTCCAGAGGATACAGTGCTGGTGGTCTGGGGATATGTGCAGAGAGGCTGGAAAATGAGGAAGTCTCAAGATTCTGTATCTAGCCATTTGGGCTTAGACATCTCTGGGATTTAAGAGGTTAAGCATCTGTAAAAACTGAGAATTCTAAGGGCTCCTTCACATATACCATCAAATTCTGTAAACAGGTAATTCATTTTATGTTTTAAAAATACTAGTTTCAAACAATCGAGTTATGCTACATACATTCAGGTGATTAGAAAATTAATCAGCCAGTTATAGAGGTGGCTGTCTTAAGTCAGTAGTGGGAAGTCCCCATGAATTTTTCTTGGAGGCAGACAGGTGGAGGAAGCATACGGTTGAGGAAAATGTGGTGGAGAGAACTTGTCAGCAAGGTCAGAGAGATGTTTCCTTCTCAGGGATCCAGGGGGCCCCTCTGTAGACAGAGGGTAAGAACACAATTGTGTGTTTTATCAGTTGGTGTAGGAAACCTACATTTCTGCTTGTTTCAAAAATGGCCTTCTACGAACACATGTAGACACGGTAGCTGATCCTGACACACCTCATTTAAAAATGGAGCATATTAAACCTGGCGTGGACAACGCAGGGAGGGAGGAGAGCTGGCATGGGAAAGTTAAAATGATGCCTAAGTGCAGAGTTCAGAGAGGAATCTTGGTGTCTGGTCCTCTGACCTAGGAAACAGACCGCACGATCATTAAAAGCATCGAAAGAGAATGAAATACTGAACTAATAATGAATAATGACCTATTGATGCCGGCAAAGAACAGCTGAACAGCAGTCATGAGATAAGAGAACAGCCGCGTGGTTCATTTTTTCACTTTTCCTTTAGACACAACCTCTGCGTAAGAGGTGTGAAGGAAGGCGTGAAGCTGCTTAGCGTGTGCGGCGTTCCCCAGGATACCTGCGAGCTCGTCTTGAGACAGGCTTGCTAACTCTGCAATGTTCTTAACACGGCTCATCAAGGAGCGACAGTTCTTGGCGTTTACCCCTGGCATTTTTAACAGGAAGTCTTGGGGACCAGGGTTGTATTTTTCCGACTCGGGGAGGGTTTCCGAGTCGGCGGTGACAGCCGTGGCTGTGGCGGCATCAGGCTGTGGCTTATTTTGCTTTAGCTCCTCAAACAGCTCGGCAGTGACGTGAGGGGAGGGGCACCAGAGAATCCGCAGCCTGGGGAAGTGAAGCGTCAGGAGGGTGAGCTTGGAACTAATGTCATTGCTGGAGATCTCCTGGTATAAGGCACCTCGGGAAGTGAGCGAGAAGGGCTTACTGGGGTCAAACTCGATCAGAAGCACGGGCCTCTTATAGTAGCGGGACATGGAGATGCACTGGCTGTAGAGGCGGCCGCTATTTAAAGAGCCAATCAGGTCGCTGATGCTCTTGCGTTCCACGCACATTTCTGGCGTCAGAATGTAATCTCCGACCTCTAAGGTCACCGGTTCAATGTCAATGCCCCGACGATGGAGCAGGGATGGGAGTTCACTTCGAAACTCACGCATATCCACAACTATACTTTGCTGTGTGCCATTCTGTTCCTGGCCGCCTATGAAGAAAAAGTAGCATTTTAAGTAATGTCACTGCGGAAGAACTCTCAAAGATGGAATATAACAATTAAAGTTTAAAATCTATGTTTCTGTTTTTCCACTTCTGATGCATCGTTACATAATACATGTTATTATTTCACATTTTTCTCTATTTTCAAAAAGATTTATTTACAGAGTAAATAAAGGCAGTTTCCTTTACACTAAATAGAGCTAATAGGAAAGTTGGAGTCTATCCGTAGTCCCTTACTTAGAATCATTCATAAACACCAGCATTTGCTATTGTCTTCTCTCTGTAGCTCTCTCTGTATATAGTCCCTTGTTGCACTGACCACATTTTACTGATCATCATATTCTCAATCCTAGGACAGAGCCTGGCACATAGCAGGTGCTTAAAAATGCTTATTGAATAAATTAATAATAAATTAAGAGCTGTTGTGAAAAATTTTGGAGGTTTTAGTGCTTGTATCAATGAATTCAGAGACAGAAAACGGAAGAAGCTGGGAAAAACAAGAATACCTTAGAACAGAGCTTCTCACCCTCTCATGTACATAGGAATTGCCTGGGATTGAGTTAAAAAGCAGACTTTGTATTCAGCAGGTCTGGGATAGGGTCTAAAACTGAGTTTCTAACAAGCTACCAGGTGATGCTAATGCTGCTGGTTTGAGGACTACACTTTTACAGATGCAGGGCTGTTGTAGGCAGGATAATGGCCCCCTAAAGATGTCCATGTCCTAATCCCTGCAACCTATAAATATGTTACTTTACATGGCAAAAGGGACTTTGCAAATGTGATTAAAAAAATTAAGGATCTCAAGATTGGGAGGTTATTCTGGATTATCCAGGCAGGCCCAAGGGTCCTTACAAGGGAAAGAGGAAAGCAAGAAGGTCTGAGTCAGAGCTGCTGGCTTTGAAGGTGGAGGAAGGGGCCATGAGCCGAGGAACGCAGACAGCCTCCAGAAGCTGGAAAAGGCAAGGAAAGGGATTCTCCCCCAGAGCCTCCAGGAGGAACGCAGCCCTGCCAACACCTTGATTTTAGCCCAGTGAGACCCATTTAGACTTCAGAACTGTGAGATAATAATTGTAAGATAATAATGTGTGTTGTTTCAAGCCAGTAAGTTTGTGGTGTGTTGTTACAGCAGCCATAGGAGACTAACACAGGGCTTAGAGGGTGAACTCAAAAGGACAGACTTCCATGAATAGCTTTCTGGGCGGTACATACACGCTCACATCTATCTTCCTTCATATTGCTTGACATTCTGTGGTTCTCACCAACCTATCTGAGTTAACAAGAACTTTCTCAAAAAAGACATACACGCCCTGAGGCAGTGTTTCCCAAAGTATGGTCCAAGGAGATGCTGACCCTACTTCAGATCTACTGAATCAGAATCTCTATGGACTGAGGCCCGTGAACCTACAGTTTTCACAAGCATCTGAGGTTATTCCTGAGTATACTAAGTTCTGAAGCCCACTGCTCTAACTGCTTGACCCACTATTGGTTTAGATCAACTCAATCATGTTGCTTTTCTCATGCCACTTGGCTGATCAGCTGCTGCCAGGGGGAAATGGGGCTTTGGGGAGTGGGAAATGGTTACTCCTGGATCACGGTACACTTGGCACTCAGCAAGTCTTGGTGGTCACCAGTGTTCAGCTACCACACAGCAATGACAGTACCACACACCTGGGATCCCGAGAAGCACCAAGAAGCAATGAATGAATATAGAAGTGGGAACGTACTCCAAACAACTCCTACCTGTTTATCCATGAGATGAAGTGGCTTCTTCAGGTTAAGATGAGAACTTAATCACCATTTAAAAAAGCTTCTTTGCAAAAGTACATTCTGAGTCTCAACCAACCACATTTAAAAGCAATGCTGGAACATACCTAACTTCCAAGCTTGGACGCAGAGAACACAACCCCATTTGATTTACAGATGAGGAGTCTTAGATCCAGGAAGGACACAGGGTTGATAAATGGCAAAGCTGAGACCAGGTTATGGGAGCAGACATTCATCTTTAAGAGTTTGTTGAGAAAAACCAGGCCTCTGCAGAGAAACTCGGGAACCTCCCGGCCTCCTGTACAGGCAGCAGGATGGCTGGCAATGGGCAGGACTCACCTGCTTTCCGAGTGTCAGTGGGAACACCTGCAGACACGGAGCCTCTTACGAGGTCTAGGTTTGTTTCATCTCTGCCTTCTCTTTCTTCAGGGACAACCATGCTAGCCTTTTCCCTGGAGGAGAAAAACATTTTTTGAACTAATTTCAAAATTCCAGATTTTAATCTTCTGTAAATTTTAATACAGAACCTTATAATACAGAACATGACTGTAGTGGTAAAAGAACATACAAGAAACACATGAGACGTACATATGCACAGACAAGTAATGGGCAAAGGAAGCAGAAAGAATTTCTTGGTTGGGCACTACCGATCTTTCAGAGTTAAAAAAGTTTTTTTTATTTTCTCTTCTCTATGTCCTTCAAGCACTTTAAGACATGAAATAAGCCTGTAAAAAACACCACAGAGAGATTATTGAGACTTTTTATAAAAACATGCTAAATGTGTTATTGAGCATTAAAAATAATCCAAATCATTTATTTTCCAATATTTCTAGAGTAATCATAAATAGGGATGGTTAAAAATCAATGATTAAGAAAATGAAAACATTTATGACAGAACATTGATGTAAAAACTCCAGGTGGGAGGCCCCATTACACACTCTCAATTTTAACAGAAAATCAAGGTTAATATAAGAAAGCAAATTTCCAACAGCGATTGAAACAAAAAAATCAACATCTCAGGTTAGGCGGCAGAGCAGCACTGATTCCCTCACTTGTGCATCTATGTAACAACATTTACAGAGTGCTCCTGCACGTTGTGCCGGGTACTTTGGATATAAATATGGTTACACAATAACTCCTGGCTTCAAGAAGCTCAGTACCTTATACTTGGTAGATCGACACGACTGTCCGATCATAACTAAGATTCGTAATCAGGAACTACAGTCCTGACAAGATCCTCAATAACCAAAGACAGAGTAAGCCAGCTTTGCTATAGTCTTATTTTTCAAAACCAATAAAGTATGTTACAATCAATTCATGAAACAGCAAGTACTATGTGTCTACTGTGCTTGGTATGACAGAAAAGATGTCTAAGGCCGGTCTCTTCCCTCGTAGGGCTTGCAACCGAGTTGAGGAAACAACCATGAAAACCAACTGTGGAACTGAAAAACTGTAATAAAGGAGCCCAGGGTAAGGCGAAACAGAAGAGGAATCTTCAATATTCACTGATAATTTCAACGATTAAAGGAAATAAAACCAGATGGACCAATTCTCCAACCACTCTGGATAAATGATGCTTTAGAGCAGGGTACCACTAAAAATACCGCTGAAGTACAGAAATTACAACTTTAAATTCTATACTATTTGAAACAATATAGAAAGTTATTATTAGTACAACATTTTATAAATGGATCACAAGTGGGCAGACAATAGTTCAGTTCCACTTTTCCTCATTATTTTCAACACCAGTGTCCAGTGTTGCCTGCCGAAAAATTCTCCACGATGACAGTGCGCTGGCAGCCACTTATCACTGCTCCATTATATCTACTAGGCTCTAGTTGAGGACAAAGGGCAAACCATGCAAAAAAAATTACTGTTCTTAAATTTTCTTTTTCTGTTACATTTGGGATTAACATTGGGGATTTTTTCCCCTCTTTTATTTCCACTTACTTTACCAGCTAAGCTACATATCACATAGGGGCATCCCAACTTCCTGATTAATTTGTAATCTGTGAGTGACTGTATAGCACAGTGGGTTAGAACGCAGATTCTAGATCTATATTTCATAGATTTGAAACCACTTTCTGGCTTGTGACCTTAGGTTAGTTGTTTAATGGCTCTGTCCCTCAAATTCATCTGTAATATGGCGATAATACTAAAACCGGCCTCAAAAGACTGTTACGAGGATTACATAATACATGCAAGGAACTCAGAACAGTGCCTGGCACATAATGAAGGTTATATAAATGTTAGCTGCTATTATAAATGTACTTTCTTATAATGTGGTACCCTCATCCCCTAATTATCCATGATCATGCTAAAAAACTGAAGATTTACTTTCAAATGATTCTGCAACGGTTTCAATTAATATTGTTCTATAAAACAGCTAGTTTACCACAAAATGTTGTAACATTACTGAAAATTGAATCTGAGAAAAAATAAACTCTTGAAATGAAACCTGGGTTGTGAAAATATTAAGTCTCCTTAACCAGTAACTCAAATTAGTTTAACAGAAATTTGCCATAATTATAAATATTCAGTCCCTTGCTTTTAACATTTAGCATAATTATTCAAGTTACTCTATGTGATAGACACAAATAATAATTAAAAAATTCAGATTCCTATAAATCTTTCAGGTGAAAGGTACCGCCCCTGCACCAGAAGGTGGAGAGACATCCTTACCACCAGAAAGAGGGAATTCAGGGCCAAGAAGCCTGTGTGGGGGATCAGAATTTGCCTCCCCAAAATGTGTCTCTTTGGTTTGATTATTTTTAAGAACAGAGTCAGAAAGAAACTTCGACCTTCTCCCTAACTGCCTAAAAGAATTTAAGATAGAAAGCCTGTCCCAGGAAGGAGATATAGCTAGATAACTGTAGGTGTGGTAGACAGGAAGGCACCTAGCAAAGCCCATTTTTTTTTGTCAAAGTTCTCTCTCATTGTCTATAGATGGCCCAGCAAACGTTTGTTAACTTCAAGATGGTATTTAGGGTGGTGGATTCAGCCTTTTTGGGAGTTACTGTTTTCCTGGGTTTCTCCCATATGTATATGTTACTAAACTTTGTTTGATTTTCTCCTGTTATTATGTCTCATGTCAATTTAATTCTTATACCAGCCAGAAGAACCTAGCAGATAGTGGAATAGTTCTTCCTCCCCTACACTTGTGTAAAAAACCTTGTTACTTCATTACTAATCTACCACCTCAAGCTCAAACTGCTTAGATTCCTCACCAATGAGCACAAGCCTAAGTGCCTTTGTCCTGTCAGTTCCTCACATTTTGTTTCTTTGTTTAAAACATATCAAAGCTGCTTGCTTTGGTCATTTCTTTAGGTCCCTTTCTATAAGGCCTCTGTGCGCATGAATTAAACTTGCTTTTTTCTCCTGTTAAAAAAAAAAAAAAATTCAGATTCCTACTTCCACTTAATATAAAGTACTGAGGTTTCTTATTTTCGCTTCAACATCTTCAATGATATTTGAATAGCTTGTACAACATGCTAATATAGGTAGAACTAGAACTCTTCAAATGGGCATTTGTTCCAGCCCTCATACTAACCCATTTTGTGGTCATATTTCCTAACCGTAAAATTTCAAATAATCATACCCCCTCCTTTGAAAAGCAGTGACCCCTCCAAAACTAGTATACTCAGAATGTTATTACTAATTTTTCTTCCTAGGGAGCATTTTATTATCAATACTTAGAAGCATAATCTCTTTTCTCTTTCCTTGTCATCTGTAATCTACTGATTTTTAGTCCAGCCAAATACTCCTTTTGCTGCCAGTTCCCCTGATTCATTCCTTTCCGGTTAAATAGTAGCACTGCTTTTGTTCTTACAATATCACCCATGGAGGTCCTGGCAGAAGCACGTTATCTTATTCTCACATTAAATTTCTCTCTAACTACAGGCTCAGTGCAAGGGCTCTTGCAGCAACGCACCTCACGTAGGTTTTGCTTTTCAAAACACACACTTCTCAAATTCCCCAAGTTTTCTGGGAAAGAAGATATCTTAAGACTCTAAATAGAGTAACTATTCAATTGCTGTGTAATACGGGAAGATCTAACTTATAAATAGATAATGACCACTGAGAGGGTTTAGGAAATTCTGCCAGATCATAGATAAAATTATAGTAAAATCTGATATGGAAATGATTACACAGGTTGAAATTTAGCGACAGGCTGTATTCCAGGTTCTGCTGAGTGAGGTTTCCTATATGAGCTAGGTGCCCACCCCTTGTTGCCGAGCCCTCTGATGTGTAGAATCACTTGTATGAACCAGGAATGGCACGGGGTCCCCGAGACCTTTCTATAATCTCCTTAAAGTATTCTTTTCTAGGTTAGGTTCCCTGATGTACTGGAGAACAGGCAGCTGTGTGAAGGAAGCCGGGAGCATAAAAACTCACCTACTCCAGGGCCTTCCTTCCCACAGCCTCCCGGGCTCCTTTGGCTACAGCACCGTGCAGGAAAGGGTTAACTCAGCAGGCCTCGGCTGCTTAGACTCTGCACAATCCCAAGAAAGGCCTGTCTCCTCAGGACTGGCCCTTGACCAGCTTCTGGGAGATGACCTCTGAGCCCCTGGAATATTCTCCCGATAAGAGGGTTTTTGTATGCCTGAGGCCTGGGGGACACAGCACCAGTTTGATCAGAGGGTTTATGCTAACAGTGATTTATGGTGAATACTTGTTTTGCTCCGGGGAGCTGGAGATCGTCATGAGGGTATTCTGTGTCTCCATGACTGACCCCCAGTAAAAACGCTGGACCCCAAGGCTTGGTGAGTTTCCCTAATGCCACCACTTTGCGTGTGCTGTCACACACTGCTGCTGGGAGAGCTAAGCATGGCCGTGGGACTCCACTGGCAGAGGACACCCAGAAGCTTATACCTGGTTTTTCCTGGACTTCGCCCCAGGCATTCTTTCCCTTTGCTGATTTTAATCTGCATCCTTTCACTATAATAAATCATAACTGTGAGTATACCAGTTTTTCTGACTCCTCTGGGTCCTTCCAGCAAATCATCGAGCCTGAGGGTGCTCTTGGGGACCCTCGAAATGAACACCAAAAACCTAAGTGAACTATTTTAGCTCTATGTGCTCATTTGTAACTTGGAAGTAATTACTTTAATCAGAGAAGCCTTAGGCAAAGGATGTTTTAGTAAGAGTGAAGGAATGGTTAGGAGGTACTGAACCACACCCAGCATCACCAATTGTTTGATTCCATTTCCTAAATATCTCTTAAATGTGTCCCCTTCGCTCCATCAACCTAATCTTGGCTACCACCTGTTCTTATCTATTGCAGACAACTGCAATAGCCTCCTGCCTAGTTTCCCTGCTCCATCCATTCCTCAGCTTGATGCCAGAGACAGCCTTTAAAAACATACTTTGTCACTTTCCTACTCAGAACTCGTCAGCGCTATCTACTGCCTTTAGAGTCAAGTCCTAAATCCTTAACAGGCCTCTTGCACCTCTGAGCCTTCACACACACCCTTGTTCAACATAACCCGTGTCCACCCCGTCTCCTTAGCAACCATCACATTTTTCGTGTATCAGCGAAAATGTCACTTTTTCAGTGAAGCCATCTCTGACCCCCATCACTGGGTTAGGTCTCTTTGACATACTCTCTGATTACACTCTTTTCTTTTACCTTTGCAGCCAGCAGCACTCTGCACATGTCTCTTTATTATAACATTCATAATCACTTAATGTCTGTCTTTTCCATAATCACTTAATGTCTGTCTTTTCCACTAGAGGATAAGCTCTGGGAGGGAGAGACTTTTTTGCACGACTATAACTTCAGCACTTTGATATCAGCACAGAGCTTGGCACATAACAGATGCTCCATAAATATCTGTGGATGGTTTGAGTCTGGGGAGAGTGAAGGTCTAGAAGACAGAGAGGCGCTAAAAAGCTCTGGACAAGAAAAGGTAGCCCGTATAATACCTGGTTTGTTACAAGACTTTCTGAAATATTTTTTCAAAAAACATATATACCATCCCACAGAGCACATTAACAGAAAATATTTTTTCATAGGCTGAAAGGACTGACCAATAATTGTATGAGTAGGAGCTGGAAGAATCCACGGCCAAGGCGTGTCACAAATACGGAGGATTTGAAGGGAACGGATGGGTACTGCCCATGTACTGTGCTGAGCCCCTCCACGGGGACTCAATGGCACTGATTCAGTAAGCACCCGTCTCCAGGAATGCATGCCCTGGACCAACTGGGGTATGTGTACATTTTATGCATACACTGAGAGCCCACAGCCACTGATGGAGGAAGGTTGTCCGTTTTGAAATTCTGTCTAGGGCCCTGGCAGGCTAACTGCCACTAAAAATGATTTCTGCCCTCTCATGGCCACTGATACATTGCCAATATCTGAGGCTTGGAAGGTTGGTCTGGCCCAGCCACACTCAGTCCAGGCCATGGTCTCCTTGAGTCTAGCCTTTTCTCTGGCTCAGCTCACGGATGCCCTGCCCAGCACCTGCCCTGGCTTCTGAGGCCCCTTAGAGATCACCTGGTCCATCTTTCCTCACCAAGCCACAATCTCCTTGACAACAACTCAGGTGGGGGGTTATGAGATTTCTCAAACACTTCCAGAAGTAAGAGGTAGCTATCCACTTTGTGAATCTCTCACTTAGAAACATTTTCCTTATGTTAAACTGAAAAGCATTTTTCTATTTGGATTTGCAACATTACCAGACACTCATTCTCAAAAATATACACATACGTTCAGACAAACATCACACCTTTTAAAAAATATTTTCCCAGAGTGATTCTATTGATGGTCATCTGAACTGACTGGGTCATAAAAACATTTCCCAGTAAACAGCAGTCACCCATGTGTAAACAATGGAAACTTTACAAGGAGAAAAAAAAATCATAATTCAAAGGGAAGAGAGAAATCTTGTGCATGGGGGAGAGGGAGAGGGAGATTTAAGAACGTGTTTCTTAGAGAAGTGGTGTTTTAGTTATATTTTTGGTGTTTTATGTTATATTTCTTTAAAAACAGAAAAGCAGCTCTCTTCACATTTCTCATATTCCATTAAACCATTGAAAAGCAAGTGGAGATGGTGGAAAAGAGAGGGGAAGAGAAAAAGGAAACGTGTGTTGGGAATGAATCAGACCACAGGCTTATCGTGATGTGACCCCCCCACCACCTCTTCCCCTCTCCATCTTTCCTGAGGCTCTTAGATATTCCCCGACCCAGAGAAGCCTCTGGATCCTGAAAGGCCTTTGACACTTTCATACTGATCTTCCATGTAGTATTACCTTATGAGTTTTTCAAAAGCTTCCTTTTCTTTCCGCAAAGCAGTGAGGTAGCGCTGTTCCTCGGTGGAACCCCCATATATAAGAAAGTAAACCCTGCAAGTGAAGACAGAACTCTTTTAGGCTGCAAAAACATAATTTTTAATCTCTGAAAGGAAGAGCATAGCATTTGAAATCAGCAACCTACAGTGCTCAAATAATAAATATTTGACCAAGAATAAAATGTTCCATTAATCACACACTAAAATTAAGCTGCCTAACCCTACCTGTGAAAGGTCTCATCACCACATGGTTTTTTGTTTTTTTTTTTTCTTTCCCCAAAAGGAGGAACAGAAGTTAGGTAAACACTGAAATATAACTAGAGGGATAGAATAATTCTTCCCTCATAACTATAAACAAATCAGAAAACACAAAATCTTAGCAGCTTCTCTTTTTTCAATTTTTTCTTTGTGCCTCTGCCAAACAATCGTTTCAAAAGTTGGATAGTAGTTACAAAAACCAGCTTATGAAAGTTCATGCTAGTGAAAAATAAACAAATGAAATCTATATGACCTTTATCTTCACAAGTGACTTCTCAGTTCTTTTTTGTTCTTGTCTTAACAGAACCGAGTCATCACACATTTTACTTAAACATGCGGACACAGAAGACATATGGATTATAGCAGGCTCCTGGAGAAATCATTTGATATATTCTTTTCTCTTAGAAAAGGCCTGCTTTTATATCTTGTTTGTTGCTGAGAAGCTGAATTAAGCACCTCCTCTGTCCCTTCTCTTCACCTTCTATCAGAGGTATTTTCCTTTTTTAGCTCTCGATTTTTCCTTAGACTTCATCTTCCTAGATTATATGTCTTTGAAGTGTGGACAGGGAACAGACCATTGGACAGTGAGTCCAGAAACCTCAGCTCTCCCACGAATGTGCCATGTGGCCAAGGGCAAGTCATTCACTCTTTCTGGGCCTCAGTTTCCCATTGATACAGCAACCGGCTGAACTCCCAGGGCCCTTCTGATTCTGAAACGTTTCCAAACATCACATTCTTCTATTTTCAGGCAACAAAGAACTTTGGAGCACACAAGCTATCTACGAAGTTGATCAATAGCAATGTATGAAGAATTCACCAGCCTATAACTATTTTACCAGCTTCATCTAATCTCTTCATCCTGCATTATTTCTGATCCACCTCCTCCATTCATCTCTACTCTGAAAGGTTGCATTAGTTAAACTGCTAGAAAGGTTTCTTTTGGCTCTGTTTTTGGTTCAGACTGAGTTCAGGATATTAATTTTGCTGTTTATTTCCCTCAGATAACTGGAGAGCCAGAACACTATATTCTTTGGGAGGCATCATTTTCTCATCTGATATTTCTGTAGATTATTTCATCTGATATTTCTTGAAACTCAAGAAAACTTGGTACAATAATTCCCCAAATACTTTAGTTTTATGTGGATGTAACTAAGAGTCACTTCTTAAAATTTATAAGAAAGACATTTTAGAAGACTGAAATTATTTAGCTGAGTCATAATGATATTAACTTTTGGTAGAAGTCAAGATATTGTAAATTTCCTAGACTTTTTCAGATACAGCACTCCACGAGCCACAACCAGTGCATAAAGAACATGGTACAGAACAGGAGAGCAGGAAGTAACGAGAACGCAAGCATTCCCTTAGATTCGTTGTTCTGCTACAACATTTGATATCCGGCCTATGCAAACTCGCCAGATTGATCAGAAAGCAAAATAAGGTTTCAGAAACTTAACCAACATCCTAAAAATGGAATGTTAAAGATAAGAAAACCCATATGCAACTGGTATAGTTTCTGTGTTAAATCCTAAAGAACTGTGAAATTGAAGCCTATAAGATAACAGCTCCGATTCTTTATAACTTGCCTCAGAGGTTTCCCAGGCCTACTTGCCCTGTAAATTTCAAGCTGACGAACAAACGTGAGCTCTGCGTCGTACAGAACCACATATCTTGGCTCCACTTCGTGCAGCACCCTTGTCAGAGCGTAGGGGTCACTACAGCCCAGAAGGGGATGGATGATGGTGAGCGGGTCTTTCAGGATTCCATAGGCTGCATCCGATGACAAGTTTAAATCAAATTCCTCATGCTTAATTTCTTCTGAGCAGCTTCCTGGGCTGCTGCTTAAGTCTCTAGGACACACTTCCTTGGCATCCCCTTCCTCCGCCAGTTCTTCAGACTTTCCCATCATCTGAGTTAAAGTCAGCTTTCGTTTTTTCTTTTTGCGAGTCTTTTCTTTGGTAGAAGTCCTTTCTTTGTTTTGGGGGTCTTTGGGTCTTTTGGTGGATTTCATCCTTCTCTTTGAGGTGTCCTCCTTTCTAAACGTCATCCATACTTCTTCAGCTTTGCTGTCCTTCTCAAAGGTCTTCCTGTAGAGCCTCAACAGGAAGGCCTCTGCTCCAATGGCGATATACTCCCTCAGCTGGGAACATGTTCGGTCATCACTCGCACAAATTAGTACTTGACCTAAAAGCAGAAAACAATGCTGTGTTACTACTACCTCACGGGGGCCCTTGCCCCTTCCCCCACAGGAAGACACAGCTTACCCCTTGGCGCTGAGGATACAACATTTACAATTTGTTTAAAAAAGGTCTCAGATGCTTATCAAACGCGTTCACCTCTTCACCAGGATTACTGAAATCTTTTGAGTAAAGTTGAAGCCAGAAATATTTAGAGTCTTATGAATATATAGCCATGGTATAATGAAGGCTTTAAAGAAGCTTTTTTTAATTAATAATTTTCCAGAGGATCTTATACACCAAAATAAATTTCAAATGGATTATAAAGTCAAATGTTAAATATTAAATCATAAAAAAAGGTGACTATTCTCCAGCTCTCTGGGTGGAGATGATTTTCTAGGCTTAAAAGCAATGGAAGAAATTTCAAAGAAGATTGATATCTATAATCTAAGATTGACTCTCTGAGAATAAAAAACTGTGCATTAAAAAAGCTAGAGACAAAAAATAACTTTATGCAACAACTATGGTAAATGGTAATATCTTTTATAAAATGCCGATACAAACTGAGGGCAGAGTCTAGACTGGCAAAGGAAACTAGATACTTCACAAAAGAGGAAATGCATTGAGAAAATATTGAGCTCACCAAACATCAAAATTTAAAAAAAGATAACATTTTTCTTTAATCAAATTAATAAAACTGTTATACATACATAATATATGTATACACACACAAATGTACAGAATCTCCAGGCATTGTTAGCTAAGTGAAAAAGATAAGCCCTTATACTGCTAGAAAAAATGAAAATGGATGAAAACCATCTATAAATCAATGTAATAACATGTCTCGAGAACTCTATCACTTGACTCCTTAATTCTACTTCCAGAAATTATATCTACACTATGACTTTAACAATGTGAAACAGAAAGTAAGTGAAAGAACACCAGGAAGGAAATATGCCAATTTAACAGTGGCTGCTAGACATAATTTTTTTCCTTCTCTTTTGTCTTTATATTTTTCACTTTTTCTAAGTGAGCATGTATGACTTTGGGTCTTCAATCACAGCACGGTAAGTTCTGGGATAATATCACCGGCATATTTACTAATATAAGGATTGTGTGCTTGCCTTTATTGCAGAAGTTCAAAGACTCAATAGATATTTTTTAAATCTAGATTTTCTTTTATTTTATATCTGGTTTAATTTTTTAATTTAGTTCAGGTTTAGTCTACTGTGCTAATCTTTTAGTATATTTATGTCTGAATAGAGGAGCCCTAAAATTTGGAATTTTTTTAGGGCTAGGTCAATGTCATTTATAGCCTGGTTGAGGCTTCTCTGGAAAAATACTTGCTGAAAATATAAAACATAAGACTCTTTAGCTTTCTCCTTGGGGATTCCAGATTTAAAGCCTGGTGAATATATATATGGAGATTAGCTGCATCTTTAAATACAAGTCCCAAGAACCCAACCAGTAAAAAAACCCTGCTTTCATGAATACACAATGATTCAACCTAGAGAAAAATCACGTCAAATGAACAGAAAGGAGGTTGCCGCTAGGATCTCAGTGTTCATTTGGCATTTATTCTTCTACATTTTATAAACAAAATGGTAAGCGATTTTTAAAGAGCTAATGAAAAAGACTCATTTGCTCAATCTTGAAAGCAAATGTCATCCTCTCCTTTTTTCCTACCTGGACCCCCAAGGGCTTCACTCTCCTTATTTTCTGCCTCAATTTCTTTCAACACTTCGGTTAGTGCTTCCCACTTCGGGTTGCTCTCCAGGACCAGTTCCTTTTTTGTTTCTGTATAGAAATAAAAGATAACCTCCTGCTATGTGATAATATTTATCCATAAAGTATTCCAAAGGCTTTCAAAACAACAGATAATACAAGCATCATTCCATAAGCCCATTCCTTTGAGCTTCCTTCATAATGCTAGATAGAATCTGCTTTCTTGAAAAAGTTGTACTTATGGTCTCAATGAAAGATACTTCAAACCAACATTAATACAGGTTTCATAAAGCCTTAATAGAAAGTTATATGCATGGTCACTAATAAGAGAAGATTCTGTGTTAGTTGTCAACTGTGACATTATACATAAGCTGCTACACAAAATAAAGGAATCAGTACAGAACCACAGTATTTATGATTTCTAAAATCCCCAGGATTTTCACAATCCTGAACACAAGATGGAAGTACACAACAATCAAACTTTCATTTCACATCACTAATATATTTAATTAAGTTTTGAAACTGACCTTTGAACTAGGCAGAAAGTAAGCATTAGCCCTTAAAAAATCAATGATATTTATTATACCTACTTAAAAAACCAATGATATTTATTATACCTACTAGATGAGTGTTGGAATAAAATCCATATTTGCCTCATTCTCTTATATTTATGTTCTCGAAAAGCTATAAGGGATGTTAAAACGTTCCACTAAGACTATAAGTGCCAAAAATAGTAATTAATCTGAAGTTAAAAAAATAAACAATCTTATGTAGTAGTAAGAATAGTCTTGACAGATACTTGGCATTTGTTATGTGGAATATGGTGGCAACGGATTGTAACCCTTGCCATGATGAATACTTTTAACATGTTACATGTAATATACCTTTAACATACAGGTACACATTCTTCACATGCCTGAAGGAGATTTAAAATTACATTGTAACTTGATAAGCATTTCCACACCAAATACTTAAATAAAAGACACGTTTAAAGATTTAAGCCTACAAAATACCTTGCTCTTCTTTAATTTCCATTTTTTCAGACATTTTGTCTTTTTTACTCATCTTGGCATCTGGAACATGATAAACCCTTGCTCGAGCATTTACAAACATCGAGGTGCTGGAGTCAAGAAACAGCCAACCTAATATGAAAAGTAAAAAAAAAAAGCCTTCAATTGATGGTTAATGTTAAAGAATAGCTGATGGTCACATGACCTATATATACAACTGGCTGCCATCTTGTTTTCCCAACCAAACCTTCTCCCTTATTGTGGCCTCTGTCACAGTTTGGCTAGACCAGTTGTTTTAAAGTGTGGCCTACAGACCTCTGGCGGTTCCCAAGATGTTTTCAGGGGGTCTGTGACCTCACAATTATTCTCATAATAATACCAACTCATTATTTGACTTTCTTCCACTGTGTTGACATTTCCAGTGATGGTGCAAAAGCATTGGTGGGTAACATTGCTAGTGTCTGACCACAAATCAAGGCGGTGGAACCAAAGTGTCCTAGCAGTCAATGTATTCTTCATTGCTATGCACCTGCAGTTTATTTGTCAAGGATATCCCTGATGAAGCAGTAAAAATTATTAATCATATTAAATCTTGGCCCCAGGGGCCCATAGACCACACTCTGAAAACCACTGGTCTAGCCAGTGAGAGAGGTCACAATAGTAGGGGAAGGCTGTGACAGGTAGGAAAACAAAATGGTGGCCAGTTGTATATGTATGTTTCCCTACAAATCTCTTCTCTTTAGTATTCAGCACTCTAGCTGATGAAACCCCATACTCCCTTGCTGTTTCTTTGGGGAAAATGAACTTTAAGTTCTTAACAACTAAACTTCCAGAACATAACCTATTTCTAAGTTGGGAACTGCCTGTAATATACACAGTCTTTTCTAGAAATAAAATTGCCTGGAATGGATATGAATATTTATTATTATACAGAACAGAAGTTAAGTAGGCGGAAACATTAGCTATCAATAAAACCTCCATCCTTGCGCTATGAACATAAAACGTAATTCGAAATCTTAGTGTACCATGAATATAGCACTCCCCACACCTGATTCCCCAACAAAATCCAGAACTTGATTCAAATCAGCTCCTAGAATAATATTAGTATTTTTCTCTCCCACCTGAATTCTGACCAAAAGCCTTCTCTGTTGCTCTCAGAGATTCCAGAAGATTAAGAAATGTGATACAATCATATTGGGAGAGATACTGCAGCAAAGTCCGTAATATCTTCAAATCCTGAACCAAGGATTTAGTCTTGGCTCCAAGCTGGTGCCACAAAGGATCCAGATAATGCCGGATTGTCTACAACAAGAATAAAATTTAGTATTGCTAAAATATGTTCAATAGAGCTATTATTAATACAAATTATACTTTCAACAACCATTGTCCCCTGCATACCTAAAAGTGGTAAATTTTATGCTATGTATATTTTACCACACACCAAAAAACCAAAAACATTATCTCCCAAAGAATTGAATACGAAATTTCAGTTCATAAGATTCTAGTAATAATGTTTAATTTTTTAAATATAAAGCAGGGTGTCTTATCGATAGACTCTTTATGATCAGATAGAGTCAATTCATAATTATCCACATTTACATTATTAGTCAGGAGAGAAAAGGCCTGATAAACATCAGATAATCAATTACTTGTTTTTATGAAGAGTCAAGGCATGCAGCTCAGACACATTCAATTTCTGCCAAGTTTGGCTGTGACCGTAACCCGGATGGATAAAGACGCAGGATCCGGTTGGACGATGGAGCAGAGAGCATAAACCAGGCAACTACATAGTATCAAATTAAACAGCAATGTACCTTACTTTGTTCGTGTAAAACATTTGTTTAGTTTTTTTTTGTTTATGTGTGATTCACTGATGGGCAAATATTTCTTAAATTAACAACTAAATTTGAATTTTTTTTTTTTTTAATAATTTTATTTATTTATTTTCCCCCCAAAGCCCTAGTAGATAGTTGTATGTCATAGTTACACATCCTTCTAGTTGCTGTAGGTGGGACGCGGCCTCAGCATGGCCAGAGAAGCGGTGCCTCGGTGCGCGCCAGGGATCCAAACCCTGGCCGCCAGCATCGGAGTGCGCGCACTTAACCACTAAGCCACGGGGCCGGCCCGAAATCTGAATATTTTTAAAGATCCTAAACAGTTGCCTAAACCACAGAACAGCTTTATGTATATACTATGTAGGTACCTACCTATCCACAGCTACATATATATGAACATTTCCTTCACAAACCGATTCTGTAACTAAAAACGATAATACTTGCAGCATGATATGGAAGCAGCATCACTACATGGCATCTTACCTAAGAAATTTAATACTGAGCAGGAGTAATATCTGGATGACCATATAATTTATTGTCTAAACTGGGATTCTTGTGAAAATGAAATGACACTAATAATAATTACTTCAGGACAACAGGCAGATACTGGGACTGTCCTAGACAAATTGGGACACATAACTACATGCATCTTTTGTAAAATCATCTATAAAAGTTAAATTTTCTAACAAGACGAAAGTTATGTCCATATTTACATTTGGTTACTAAAAGAATACCTAAAATAATACTTTGACTTTTACTGGTCAGGAGATGATAAACAGAAATTTAGTACAAAACATATTAGGCTATATTTTGTCTTTCTAGGGACATATACATTCCATTATAAGAATATGAAGGTTTTTTTTTGTTTTGGTTTCACCATGCACTAAATTATAATAAAATTTACTTTAAGAATAGAGGAACAAAACACATGAAATTAGTTTTATGTATCATTATTTCACAATAATATGACTTTGAAAGAATCAGAGAAATGAGAAAGATTGATTTAGAGTTTAAAAGACAGGAATTTGTTCTAACAAAATATGAAAAAAAGCTGCCTCAAATTTTTTAAAAGTCAGCATTTTCTGTGTCTATAATTCAACCGTAGACATTTACGTATCTGTATTAACATTAATCTATGATAAAAAAATCAGTTAGAATAAAAATTCCTTGAACTAAAGTCTTACCATTTTCTCAATTCAGAATGTAATTTTAAGACAGAGCAAGTTTCATATTCCTCAGTAATGAAAACTCATCCAAATTAATTTTTATTCCAAAAAAGAGATCATAAATTTATATATAATTATAAAGCATTCTTATGTAAACTCTTCTACTTGTAGAAATCCACATGTCATTTCAGAGTAAAAAGATTATTTATCCTCCTCTTAATTATACTTAAACTAAGAGACAATCACTTAAAACTGCAAAAATTAGTTATGCTTATACACTAATCCACACATTTTACTACAAATGATTACTTTCCAGTAAACCAAAGAAACTATACTTTAAATCACCTCCAATTTAATTCTAAAGTAACAGCAAATTCCTATTAAAAACATCACAAATATTAAAATAACTTGCATTCTTTAAAACTATAACATAACAAACTGTGCTTAAAAAGGAAAAGAAATGGAGTACCTTGTCAAAAGGTTTTCCAATAGCATTTTCTAAAGATAAATCTTCGACTTCAAGCGACGGGTTATGGCATTTTAATTCCTTTAGACACGCATTTAAAATGTCCAGTATAGCAGTCTGAATGGCAAGCATGGCAGGGGTCATAGAAACATGAATTTCTACGACTTCTGGTTTGTGCTGTTCTAAAAACGAGTTTACAGCTACATGGAACCTAAAGAGACAAATAGTTTTCAAATATTTTCTAGAGTTTCAACAACTATGTATTTCTGGTCTCGGTTTAATATTCTAATAGCTTTTTGTAAATGCAATTAAGAAGCAAAATGGAAAGCAAAATGACAATGTTTTCAGGAACACTTTGAATCTCAATGAATGGAAGTATTATTCAAATAAGGCAGGGGTCAGCAAACTACGGTCTGGGCCAAACCCAGCACCTGTTTCTACCAACAGTCTTATCGGAACACAGCCATGCCCACTGTATATATCATCCATGGCTCCTTTCACGCTCTAACAGCAGAGCTGAATAATCGTGACAGACCACACGGCCTGCAAAGCCCAAAATGTTTACGATCTGGCCCTTTACAGGAAAAGCATGTTGATCCCTGAAGTAAGGTATAACCGAGAAAGGAAAAAGACCACAACAATGACTCCTACATATCATACAGTATAACCAAAATACGTATTAGCATAGGCTGCAAAATGTTTGAAAATTGAAACCTTATGTTTTTCCTAGAAATTTACATAAATTCTTCAAAATCTTCACGCTTGATTTCCCCGATGGGTAATTTTCAGAGTGACAGTGGGAGTCGTAGCCAGTAAATCTGTAGTTCACCCGAAGCTGTTGTATCTGTGATTCTCTAGAGCCCTGGGGGTTTCACTAGACGTCCAAGAAAGGACAGAGTGGCTGCCCTTGGATGGATTTGATGGGCTACCAGAAAAATAACGATCACATCTCTCTCTCCTTTTGAAAGAATCGCAAATGTCGTGACCATATATTTACATTTGGATGTACTTGTTATGAACCTGACTTCCATGTGTCAAGGGCAATTACAGTAGATTTTACATTACGTTAAAGTACAAAATTACATTACAGCAGATTCTCTCACAGAAACTTGTCACATAATGCTATTTACCTTGGCCACAGATACAGCTTCCTTACAAAGAGATTTCTCATCACTCTTTCCACATGACAAAAACCAGTATCAAAGGCGACAGCGTTGTCCGTGAAAGCTTTAATGAAACCACGTTTGTTTTTCTGGCGAAAGAGGCGCAAGATGAATGCTTCTTGACAAGACTCGATTATTCTGTGAGCTCTGTACACTAAGATGCCTGAGGGGGGAAAATCATAATTTAAATTACAGAATGGACATGTAGTTTCCATGCCCACTTTTGTTCATTTATTCATCACATTTTTCTTGAGTGCCTACTTGAGCACAGGCAGGCCGTGTTCTAGGCGGGGGATATAGCCAAGAACAAAACAGACATAAATCCCTGTCCTCGTGGCACTTAAACAATATAAATAAGGAGACTATTTAGTAGATTATAAGGTGATAAGTGCTAAAGAGGAAAAACGAATCAGAGAAGGAGGAGAGAGACTACGTGCAAGGGGTGGTGGTTTGCAATTTTAGATAGTGTGGCCTCACCGAGGTTATATCTAAGTAAAGGCTGAGTGGAGATGAGGACCATGGGTGAGCCTTGTGACCATGTGGACCAAGAAAGTTCTAGGCTGAGGGAACAGCAAGAGCAAAGGCCCTGGGGTGGGGCGTGTCTGGCATGGTGGCGGAAAGTGAAGTGGGTCACCAGTTCTTCTACATGTGAATCAGATGTGGACTATACAAAATAGCTGCATTTTAGAAGTTTGGGCAACATCTGCATCAATTGAGAGGTAAACTAGTCCATTTAGAATAAAAATCTTTACTGAATATATTTAATACATCTGTTTTTTGGAGTGGTGTGGTAATGACACCCTGGAATCACAAAAACAAGGACAATTACACTTGTTTCCTTACTTGTTTTATAAAACAAGAGTACTGGACCAAATGATCCTTCATATATATATGTGTGTGTGTGTGTGTATGTGTCTGTATATATATGCCATTTTGATGCAGTATGATCAGTGATAAATTGGGGAGAGACACGAGATGTGCATAAGAGTGCATAGACGTCACTTCTGGATCAAAAACTCAATTATTCTATGATGATTCTCAGTCTTTTAGACCTAAATCAAGCCAGTTATCATACATATATTTGTTATAAATGTACTTGCACATATTTGCTCCAGTTCTCATCACTCCTAGGGTCTGGAAAACGACACTAACGGTAATTTATGACTCTGGTAGTTCAATATACTCAATTCAGATTCTACTGTTTTGGTGTGTGAATTTCGGATCAAGGTCGCTGGAGCTAAAATTTATTCTAATTGTTTTTCAAAGATGGTAAAAATTAACAGAGTTATTTAGGAATTTGTAGACAAAGGATTTTTAATAACCCCAATACATGTATATAACTCATTTAATACTCAGAAAAGATTCTGTGGGGGGAGGGTGAAAGGGGTAAAGGGGCACACACGTGCGGTGACGGATAAAAACTGGACTGTTGGGGCCGGCCCCGTGGCTTAGCGGTTAAGTGCACGCGCTCCGCTACTGGCGGCCCAGGTTCGGATCCTGGGCGCGCACCGGTGCACTACTTGTCAGGCCATGCTGAGGCCACGTCCCACATACAGCAACTAGAAGGATGTGCAACTATGACATACAATTATCTACTGGGGCTTTGGGGAGAAAAAGGGGAAAAAAAAAAGAGGAGGATTGGCAATAGGTGTTAGCTCAGGGCTGATCTTCCTCAAAAAACAAAACAAAACAAAACAAAACAAAACAGGACTGTTGGTGGTGAACACGATGCAGTCTATATAGAAACTGAAATAAAGTGATGTACACCTGAAATTTACACAATGTTGTAAGCCAATATGACCCCAATGAAATAATTAAAAAAAAAAAAAAAAAAGGTTCTGTACCCAGTAGGCAGGTTTTTCCAAGTACTCTACTGGGTCACACTTGCTGGCCTGGACTGAAATATTACATAAAGTTAAAAATAATAAAGATGGACTTCTAAAGGAAAGGTGAACCTTAATTTAACAAAATGTTCTCCAAAAGGTTGTCAGTCTTTTGGAGCCCAGGAGGGAGGAGAAGAGAACTAATATTATATCTAGGCCCTGGGGTTACGTACTTTTATAGAATTTTATTTCGTTTCATCCTCACAATAATTTTACAGGGTAGGTATTATTATGAGACCAGGAAACGGAAGCAACTTAATCAAGGTCACCCAGCAAGCGAGACCAAAGGTTCCAAATCATGTGTGTCTGAGAACAAAGCCAGACTTTTTCTACTAAGTGACCCGACCTGAGGACCTCTCTTCAAAAAAAAATAAACAAACCACAGCAGGTTATGTTAGTGGCGGCAATTCCAGTCCCACAAAAACCTACTTAAATTTTTATGCTCCCCTAACACTTCGTATCTCATACTGTACTGTCATTACCTCTTCACATCTGTCTCCTCTACTAACCTGTTTGAAGACAAGAACACTGTAACAAGTAGGAATCACAGAATGCTCGCTATGAGCCACCTAGGATGCTAACACACACTATCTCATTTCACCCTCACAAGAATCCTAGGAGGAAGGTCTCCAATTCACAGATGAGTAAACTGAGTCATATGGAAATTAAGAAACTTGCCCCAGGTCACACAGTTGGTGAATGGTGAAGGTGGGCTCAAACCCAGAAGCAGCCTAACTCAAGAGTTCACCACACTGTCTCATTCATCTTTCTATCTCCAGCACCTGCCACATTCCTGCCAAACAAGGGACGCTTAGCAAATTAAATGTGTGTTGAACGACCATAAAGCTGAATTACAGCACTGGGTGCACAAATCTAACGTAACTTTTTTGTTTAAAGTTCCAGGGGAAAGTGTGTTCTGAGTTCTGTTTGGAGATGTCAGGATCCGTGCTAGCAATGACAGCATCCTCCTGTCCCATTCTTCTGAAAGAACAATCTGGGTAAATAGTTACAGTCCTCTCACTATTTAGGAGTTGTGGTTGGCAGGGACACCTCGAGTGGGGTGTGCTGGTGATAATGGGTGGTGACAGGGGAACAAGTTAGGGCTGGGGGCAGTCAGTACTTTCCAGAGGGTTACATGCTTCGGGGACTGCTCTTTGGTCTGTAAGAGCTGTGGCGAAAGCCCTACAGGGGCTTCCTGGGGAGGATCCCAGGGGGTGGCGAGTAGGAAGGAATCCATTTCTGGCATTCACTTCCATTCCATTCAGCCAAGCAGCAGTAGCAGCTCCAGCTTCACTACTGGGAGTTGATCAGAAACGGGGACAGAAGTTTGCACTTTTAATTAGGAAATACCTATAACCTACACTTTGGACATTTCTTTGATTCAGATTGCTCTCTGCCTAATTAGGTTGAACTGTTACTTCAAGTTACAGAGACATACTGACATCTAGTGGTCATTTCAATATATACATTTTCCATTTTATCAACTTAAAAAATAAAAAATAAAACTACACTTATAAGAAAGCAGCAAACAGTAAAAGACTATGATGTATGAAGATTTCTGGTTATAAAAAGCCAATACTTTTTTTTTTTGCTATATTTATTGTGTTCACTATGTACCAAGAACTATACTAAGCAATTTCTTTATTTTATCCCACTTAATCCTTACAATAACTATAGGAGACACTATTTTCTTCACTTAAGAAATGAGAAAATGGAGGCTCATGAAAATTAAGTAACTTGCTTGGAAGCAGTAGCATTACCATCCAAAGTCAAGTGAGTCTGGCCACACAGCCCATGTCATGACTCATAACAATTATAACTGTTATAAAAGCATAACAAAACTTTTCCTGAATCAGTTCACCACGAACTACATAAGGTATTCATTCATACATTTATTCATTAAATATTTCTTGAGGGTCTTCTAGGTTCAAGGCAATATGATAGATATAGTGGGAAGTATGATTATGAATTTCATAGTCTCTCTGCCCTCCGGAAGCTCATTAAAGAGCAAAGCATATCTATGCATCATTCATCCAACAAATATGTGTTTAGTACATACTATGTACCAGTGACTCAGCCTGGGATGAACAAGTTGTTTCTTGTGCCTACGAAGCTCGTTATCTCACAAGCGAGACAGACAAACAGGAAAACATAAGGTGGTGTTCTCAAGTGCTATACTGGAGAAGCACGGGGTAACCTCAGAACACAGAGGTAGGGCCCCCCTAAATTAGCTTTGGAGAAATCAGAAAAGGCTTCCCAAAGGACAAATAAAAATGAAAAATAATTCCTTTTCTATATTAATTCTAGCTAAAATTAAACCATTCTTCTCAAAATAATTAAGCAACTACTTGGTTTAATTTCAAATCATGAGAAAATATACTCTTGAAAGAGGAAAACCAAATATTTTAGAAAATATACTAAGAATATTTATAAATATTTTAAGTCTGATTAGGTTCTAAAAGCAAATGCCAGCCAATTAGTAAGTATTTACTGAATATGAGCTTAGAAAACAAGAAAAAGTCAATCTTATGCTTAGTTACTTATTCAGGTCACAAGCATTCATTGCGCATCTAAAATGTGTCAGGTATTGTGCTAACACCTGGAAGCACAATGTTTAGCAAAAACATCCAGTGCTGCCCACAAGAAGGTTCTAGTTTAGAGTTTAGCAGTGGGGACAGACCAAAAAAAGGGCAAATTTATATATAAATAATGATAAAGTTTCAAATTCTTACCAGTAATTAAATCTGAAGGTATCCTATTGGTTAAGAAATCAACCACAAGTATTCGACTTGTTGCAAAGATCACACCGCCTTGCGTGTACACTTCATAGCGACTGTTGCTTGTGATTTCATTGGTTACACGTCGAGGGAGGTGTTCAACTCCTTCTATCTTCAGCTGATTGATAAAATACTCCTAAATCAAATCAAACTGGATTAGTAGGCAGTTTACTACAGGGCAGCGTTTATTAGGTTGCAGAAATTTGCATTTAAAATGATGCTGCCTTTCTCAGAGATAATGAACTTCATAATGAATATACAAACTAATTTACTACTTCAGGGTGATCAACCAACCAGTCTACATTTACCTGGGGTTTTGTTTCTGCTTTTGGGTTTGCACTAAGAAATCATTGCATTTGAGTTGTTATTAGCATTTTAACATCAACCAAAGAAGACTTTTTAAACCCTGGGTCAAAAGACTTCTGCTACCTAGAAAATACTTCGCACCAAAGCCAGGTTTGCAGGCAAGTGTACTGTGTGAGAAGATAACAAGGAATCTTCCCAGGCAGTGTTTCAGACTATTAGCTCTGTCCTGATCCCTTAGAGGGGATTTCATGTCACTAAGGCCCAGGGCCCTTTACACCTTCAGTCCAACACTACCATACTGGGGGCCCTGTGGTGGGAGAGGCTCTCTGTCAATCTAGATACCTAGAGGAATCAGACAGCATCCCTGCCCTCAAGGAGTTTGTGGTCACTAGTCTCAGCTGACATTTTCCTCCTGGCCACCTGCTCTATCTAGGGGCTCATCAGATTTGCTGGACCAGCCGGTGTCACCTCTCAATACCCCCAACACAGGTGTACCCCCTTCCGCCCTCCTCAGCGTCCTCCATTCTCCTTAACCCCAGGTACCCTTCCCCAATGTCCTCAGCTTTCCAGCTCCCTTCCCTTCTGACCCTTTGCCCCTCTTCCCACAGCCTTAGTGAACCCCCTTAGTCCCTCCTCTTCCCTAGGGGGTTCTCCCCAGCCTCAGCTGTCTCCTTTCAGTCTCCCCATTACCCTCAGAGATTCCTCCATCCCCATCAAGTTCCCTGTTAGGGACCCCACTTCTCTGACCCCAGCAATATCCAACGTTAGGACCCCCTCATTATTCCTATCCATATCCTCCTCCAGACATCCTTGTTCCCTTCAGGGACCTCCAATCTTTCTCTCCGCCCCCATCCTCCTCAAATGACTCCCCTACTCCTCTCAGATGTCCTTGCACCCATGTCAGGGATCCTCACTCAATACGCTCCTATCTGTGTCAGGGACCTGCATCCCTCTCGGAGCCCCCCCCCGCCATCTTCTCAGTGTCCACACACCAGTGTCAGGGACCTGCATCCCCCTGGGGACCCCTCCATCCTCCCAGCGTCCTCGCGCCCGTGTCAGGGACCTGCATTCCCTTGGGGATCCTCCATCCTGTGTGTCCTCGGCCCGTGTCAGAGACCTGCATCTGCCTCAGGACCCCCATTCAACGCCCTCGCAGCCGTGTCAGGAACCTGCACCGCCCTCAGAGGCCTCGCACCCGCGCCCCGGCCTGCGACCTCTCAGGAGGCCCCACAGGCTCTCGGGGTCCCCTCTCCCCCGCGCCGGCGGCCGCACCTCCTCGGCCGGCTGCGTGTTGAGCACCAGCACCAGGCATGCCGGGTGGCAGTGCAGCCGGAGGAAATGGTAGAGGAGCCGGTCCGCGCCGAGCCCGCGGGCGCACACGACCAGCCCGTCCGTGTCGAGTAGTTCCAGGACCAGCTGCCGCTCATACTCCAGCAGCGGCGCCATAGCAGTCTGCCGGGCCGGCGCTCCCGGCTCCATGGGCGCCCTTCCGGGGCCGCGGCCGAACGCAGCCGAAGAGAGCCGAGGCCGAGACGAGCGTAGGCCGAACGTAGCCGAAGAGAGCCGAGGCCGAGACGAGCGTAGGCCGAACGCAGCCGAAGAGAGCAGAGGCCTAGACCAGTGTTGGCCGAAGGAAGCCGAAGAGAGCCGAGTCCTAGAAGGCGCGCGCTGGCCGAACGTAGCCGAAGAGACCAGCGTCCGCCGAAGGAAGCCGAAGAGGAGCCGAGTGGAGCCGAAGATTTGTAGAGTCACCGGGAGACCCCAGTGCTCCCGATAGGTGTTCCCTCCACCCCTCAGGCTCCACCCCCGAGCCTTCAGTGGTTCAATCTTGCCCGGTCCCTTCGGTCAGGTTGTGCGGCTTAGACCTAGACCTAGACCACAAACTACCAAAAAGCAAGGAGAGGAGAATTAAACTCAAGTAGCTTAGTTCCCTGATTTTGACAATTGAAAAAGTTGTCAATCTTCCAAGTGCGCCTAGATTGAGCAGCACCTGTTTCCCAGGGTGTGGTTTGCTCCTTACTTTGCTATTGGCCCCTCTCCCCCTTTAAAATGTTTTGAATAAGCAGAATAGTTTACTAATTTCAGGCTCTTGTTTCTCTCGAAGGGTCTTGAATACAATAATCTATTTAAAATAAAGTCTCAACCAGGTGTCCCCGCAGCAGCCGCGTCGCGCCTTCCACTAGGGGGACACCTTCGGTAGTATTTGTTCTATACCTAGAAATGCCTGTTAATCGAACTAGAGGAATTGTTTTGTGTCGAAATCCTTTCCCCTCCAACCTTCATTGTTTGAAAATAGAAAATATAAGCAAGCAAAAATAAAAATCACTTCTTAGTCCGTTACCCAGACGTAACCACTGTTAACATCATGAAATCTATACTTTTAGTCTTTTTTTCTATCCACACACACAATCTCATCACACAGACTTCTTTTACCGGTGTGAGATAATAAATTACACTGATTTAAACCTGGAGTTTGTCACTAACAATTGACAAACCTCTGGACATGGTATTTCATATTCTTTGACAAAACCCTTTCATATGGCTGATGAGATTTCTGTAATGAGGATGTACCATCCATATTTACCTAATCCATTATTGGTGGACATTTAGTTTGTTTCCATATTTTCCCCCAGTATCGTAAATAATATTTCACTGAGCATTTCAACCATCCCCCTACAATACACTTTAGAAATGGATAATTACTGGATTAAAGAGAACAAACATTTATGAGGCTTTTCATTACATGCATGCTGCCGCATTGCCATCTAGAAAGCCTGTACCAATTTACATTCACACCAGCAGTTTACAAGAGGATCTGTTTCTCTGCCTTGTTACTGCTTAATCCAGTATTTTACTGACATTTTGTCAAGATTACAATAGCATGTAATAATTCCTGAATGCTGGTTAAATGGAAGGGGATGTCTGTAGACATTCTACATGCAGCATTTCCTGTGAGATAGATATTAATCTCTCCAGCTCTGCAAGCAAGAAAATAGAGGCTCAGGGAGGTTATGTAACTTGGGCAACCAATATTCCTTGGGTACCCACCATGTGTCAGGCATGGTACCAAGTGATAGGATTCATCAATGAACCAATTAGGCAAAATCTTTGCCACCATAGAATTTATATTCTAGTGGGAGCTTGTATATGAAGATGTTTAGTCATCATTTCATTTTGTGAACTACCATTATTTCTCAGGCATTTCTAGTTTGTCCCATACTAGGACGCTCGTCAAAATTTCTTCATGCATCCCTAGTAAGTGGGATGTCATACAGGTATTAAAAGCTGTATGTAGCAAGATACCCAGTATGTGCTATTATATACTGAAAAAAGCAGTCACAAAACAATAATGTATAGTATGGTCCCATTTGCCCAAAAACACCAGCAAACAAACAGTATTTTCTTGTGACAGCATAGAAAAGCTCTTAGCAAAAGCAATTGCTTCTGGGGAGTGGAAATGAGTGGCTGGCATCAGGGTAAGACCTTTACATTTCAGTTTATTTCCTTCTGTTTGACCGTATTACCATGAACTTATATTGCTTTTATAATAAAAACAAAAGAAAAAAACTTCCCAGGTACTATAGAAATACTTCATCGATATTACCTTGTGAATTCTAGATTTAATTTGTGTGTAGTGGGCCACACGTTGTCAAAAGTAGGTAACTGGGGAAGCAGACTTTTGTAAATTCTAACAGATTGCGTCTAGACATTTTAGTTTTGTTCTTGGGCAAACATTTTCAACATAAAGTGAAGGATTCTTTTTTTCCTATGTCTGTCACAATAATTCTCCAAACCTTTCCTTATTTTTAAGGTTGTTCTGATCACCAGAGCCATCTCCCCTCCCGGTCACTTCGCAAGTTTCACTTTGCCCGCGAGGACACAGGGCAGGGCAGTCATCCTTGGGCCTTTGGTGTTGGGCTGGGAAGGAGATTAAGCATTATTTTCCTCCTGACCTGAGATAGAACTCAGCACACCTCAGTTAACCCTAGCTTGACCTCCACAGGTAGGCCACCATAATTTCTCTCAGCAACTGCAGTCTTTCATGTATATACGTGAAATGCCTACTAAATCCAGAGGCTGGATGAAGAGTGAATGCTTCCTGGGCCTAACTCCTCTCTGAGAGCCAGGTCACCATTGAGCCTCTTGGAGTTTGCTTATGGTGGTTTAAGGGTTCAGGCTTTAAGTCAGGAAAGACCTGGGCTTGAAACCCAGCTCGGCTACCACCTACTAACTGTGTGAACTCAGGCAAGTTATGTAACCTCTCTGTGCCTGAGTTGCCTCATTTTAAAATGGGGCTCATAATAGGACAAACCTCATGGGGTTGTTACACAGATTAATTGAGATGAAGAAAATAGCAGGATATAAATAGTCAACCATTTTTTGTGTGTGTGTGTGAAGAATGAGGGATGGCTTAGATTAACTTGGGCTGAGGAATACAACAGGGTTGCTTTGTGTTTATTTATTTATTTTTTATTGAGGTCATAATAGTTTATAACATTGTGAAATTTCAGTTGTATGTTATTATTTGTCAGTTCCCATATAAACGTGCCCCTTCACCCCTTGTACCTACCCCCCAACCCCCTTCCCCTCTGGTAACCACTAAACTATTCTCTTTGTCCGTGTGTTAGTTTATCTTCCACATATGAGTGAAATCACACAGTATTTGTCTTCCTCTGTATGGCTTATTTTGCTTAACATAATACCCTCAAGGTCTATCCATGTTGTTGCGAATGGGACGGTTTTGTCTTTTTTATGGCTGAGTAGTATTCCATTGTATATATATACCACATCTTCTTTATCCAATCATTGATTAAGGGACAATTAAGTTGCTTCCACTTCTTGGCTATAGTGAATAATGCTGCAATGAACACAGTGGTGCATAAGTCTCTTTGAATTGTTGATTTCAAGTTCTTTGGATAAATACCCAGTAGTGGGGTAGCTAGGTTATATGGATTTTTAATTTTTTGAGAAATCTCCATACTGTTTTCCATAGAGGCTGTACCAGTTTGCATTCCCACTAGTAGTGTATGAGGGTTCCCTTTTCTCCACATCCTCTCCAACATTTGTTATTTTTTGTCTTGGTGATTATAGCCATTCTAACGCATGTAAGGTGATATCTCAGTGTAGTTTTGATTTGCATTTCCCTGTTGATTAGTGATGTTGAACATCTTTTCATGTGCCTATTGGCCATCTGTATAAATATTCAACCAATTTTTATTCAGAAACTTAATGACAACTGCTTTAAAATGATCCAACCCATTCTAGAATATGAGGCACACGTACCTCTAGGGGTGGAAACCAAACATTCCCCTTACTTCTGAGGATCCTTTGACGCCTGGATCCTCCCCGCCCTCTAATAAGGGGAAAGTCGTTTGTGGTTGCTAATCATTTAGGCTCTAGTTTTAAAACATCTTAAAGATGATTGTGAGAGGAAAAGAGGAAGTTAAGCATTTTTATATGTAGGAAGGAAGAGGGTGTGGGTTGAGAACTTGAAGGAAGACTGGGGTGTGGAGAATGAGGAGCAAGCAAGGATGTTTGTAGATGGGGCCAAAAGTCCTGGGACCAGCTCTCTGGGAAGATGTCCAGCCCACTGCCTGGAAGGGCAAGACTGAGAGAAGAGGCCACGAGTCACATTCTCTCTTGCCCAAGGACCTCCCACCCAGAGCCATCAACCCCTTCCCCCTCCCAGTTTGTATGCCAGGAGTGGGGTTTGCAACTCCAGCACCCTGTGGCTTAGCCAAGTTGACATATGAACTTAATTATCACAAATAGAGTTACAATATATCTATGGTATTAAAATTTCATGGGGAAGGCAATTAGGAAAAATAATATCTTAGAAGGTAATGAAGAAAAAGGTTGAGAAACACAGTGCTGGAGAGTGCTTTTAATGATCATACAAGTTAGGACAGCTGATCAGCTAGAGACAGGTGGGTGAGTGGCTTAACCATTGCAGCAATAACTAAGTAATACTTACGCAGGCTCGCAATGTGCAGACACTATGGTTAGACTTACATGCCCGTGCAGGGCGCACTGCTAACCGCTGTCCCAGCTCCAGCTTGCTCGTTCAGCTCCTTCCTCCCCCTGTATGGGAGTAGGGGCTCCCTCCACCACTAGGATCCTCCTCCTTGGGATCAAGGGTGCCCTGGGGCATTACGGGGTGGTGTCCACTGAGATAATAAGGTAGGTACTATTATTATCCTTATTGCAAGTGAGGAGAATAAGACTTAGAGAAGTTAAGTAGCTTGTCCAAGCCCACCCAGCTAAGTGTGGAGCATGGAGCACAGGCCATCTGACTTCTAAACCTGTGTTATTTACCCTTACCCTTACTACCTCCTTAGGTGCCTGACGCTGGAAGGCCTTGAATGCCATCCTGAGTCATTTCAACTTGAACATGTGGCTCTGATGATCCCCACCCTTTCCATGCTTAAGCATCCCTTTAACATAAACTCAAAATACTCTTGGATCAGTCCCTCATGATGGCAGTGGGAGTTTTGTGTC